TCCCTCGCCTCTCCGCAAAGCCGGGAGCCATTTCCGACCGGCTTGGCGAGGAAGGAAAGCGACTGCCGACAGCAAGCCCGCCCGCCAGTCTTGCTGGAGGAGCGAGCTGCTGCGCGCGCCCTTGGGTTTGGAGACTCGCAGCTGGTCTCCGCGTGGTTAGATCGGCGGCGGGCGAAGGGTCTAGAGGTTCTGCGGGGACCTGCCCGGGGGAGCCAGGGGCGCGCACAACAGGACGCACGCGGGGAGCGCCCAGCAGGAAGAGCGCGCGCGCGCGCGCGGGGAGGTGGGGGGTGCACCGCATGGCCAGCCCCAAGGGCGCCTCGAGGTTCCCGGGGGACCTGGAGGTAAAGGCCAGCTCAATAAGCTGTCGAAAAGCCAGTCCATAAAATTAGCCAGCCCTGCCTAAGGCGAGCTCTACGCCTGCGCTCCGTGTGACACATGGCAAAGCCATATTAGACCTTATCTTTACCGGATGGGGTGTGTGTGTGTGTTTCCATCATTTTCCGAAACCCATCACCTCCCACAGAGCTCTGATGGTTAAGGAGCTGCGCTTCCAACCCAAAGTCAGAAAGTTCAAATCCACCAGCTTCTCTGAGAGAGCACGATCCCCTTTCTCCTCACATGGGATTTACAGCCTCTGCAACCTCACTGTGGGGTGGGGGCAATCAGCCAAGAGTATTTCTACACAACAGCAATGAGTGGGAATCTTTTTCTTTCTTTCTTTTTTTTAAAATAGTGGTTTTAGAAAAATTTGAGGCAAAGCCTGGGTTTTCATTCCCCTCCTCTCTTTCCCAAGACAATGGCAGAGTTGTTCTGGGTTGTTAGAGCCATAAAACGTGGCATCTCCCATTCCTGGAAGACAACGTATCCCTTCACCAATTCCAGTGCGCGCGCTCCGGGCTCCAATCTCTCTCTGCGTGCCACCCCCCCATGGATCCTCCGCTCTCTCACCACTGCGGTCCCAGGCTCTGTGTATTTCTCCTGTGATGGAGACGTTTCCCTCAGCAGGATGTGTTTCCAGACTCACCCAGCCAGCCTGGGTGCTGTCTTACAAGTTCCTTTTAAGTTGGAGTTTTTTTAGAGGTGGAGTCTCCCTCAGTTGCTCAGACAGACTCCAGACCCCGAGTGTCTGAAGTATTGGGGTATCCCCTCGCCCCTCACCGCCCTCACTCCAAGCCTTTGTGGGTCCTGGACAGTCAACACTGTTGAGTTGTGAACGAGGAGACTTACAAGGATTCCCCATATGGCGCTGGGATGTTAGAACAGAGCCAAGCAGGCGCCTGGGGGTTCTTCAGTTACACTGGAGAGGGGGGATGCTTCACAGACAGCTGAGAACCCTCACAGTGCTCCCACGGACTGACCTTGGGGGAAACACACCAGAACGCGCATCCCCGCACGCCCTCGTCCCCCAACCCAGCATATATGCGTGCTCGGGTTTAGAGAGGCAGAAGTGGGTGGGTAAGTGTCGTGGTGCCAAAGCCCTAGCCAGCCACCTCTGGTGCCGCTGCAGGGAAGACCCAGCGGTGAGCTGGACAGACGCAAGGCCTCGGGAGCCACGTTAGGGGGGAGTTGGGGGCGTCTCGGGGGTGGAGTGGGGGGCCTGGACGTGCTGGGATTCCGCCTTGGAAGCCCAGGAATCACCAAGGCGCGCGCGGTGGTGCATCTGCTTCTCCTGCAGGTGTGGTTCCAGAATCGAAGAGCCAAATGCAGGAAACAGGAGAATCAGATGCACAAAGGTGAG